AAATATTTAATGAAAGTTTTCACTCACAGTTATGCCCGTCGTTATTACAAATTACTGCAAAATGGAAATCTCTGCTTCCTGCACTCTCTCTCTTTCTCTCTCTCTTTCTTTCTCTCTCTCTCTCTCTTTCTCTCTATCCTTCACTCACTCTCTACTTTTATGCAAATTTCAGCCTTCTCTAAAAATGGAAATTCCATTTTCAAAGCTTCCGTTTGTTTAGTGACTATAAAAATTTTTGTACGAAAACTTTTTTAAAAACTAAAAATAAATTCTAAAAGATTTCAAAAATATACCCTTTTGATTACTAGTCGCAGATAAAAATCTAACTGAACAATTTAATGGGAGATCATTTCCAGATTTTCTGTTATTTGGATTTAGTGGTCAAATTTTTAAGCTTGGATTTTGTGCAGGTGATGTAAAAGGTTTAATATCAATTATTTTCCTTTGATCCTGTCGCGCTCCCAGTGTGAACACTAAATGCGAAATTCAGTTTCAACGTTTGGCTCTGATGAAACCCAGTAAAAGTTGATATTTGAAAATAACTTGTTAAATTTATGAATTTCATTTTCCTTTTACTTTATTAACAGAGTTTTTTTTTTATTTGAAAAATATGTTTAATAAATACCGATTTTTCCTCTCCTGTCCACTTTGTATATCGACTTAAATAAAATATCTTTATGAACTTTTTTTTGTAATTGTCGACAAATACTCTGACAAAATATCAACGCCTTCAAACGAAAAAAAAAAATTCTTTCATCTATAGTGGAACAACTTTCAAGAGCTACGAGATTATTTCACGAAAATGGTAACAAAAAAGAATTGTATCTGAATAGTATGTGAGAGAATTTATTTTAATGTTAAATATTTGCAATTTAAATGTTACTACTGATTTAAAAATTTTCTTTTTAATATACACTGGAATAATGTAAACCGATTACAAAAGTAGAGGGGCTAGAGGGACGTAGGAGTTGAAGATCGTGAATTTTTTTTTTATCATTTAAATTAAAATCCATTTCCTTATTCATTTATTTTAGACGAATAAGCTTGCTGCGAGGGCGGAGTCGTGTGCAATAAAAGTGACTCGACGTTAAGTAACTGTCGCATAAAATATCCCTGATACCAGTGAGAATCTTAAGATTTCCGATACCGGGTCTCCATTTCATGAAAGGGGCGTACATTTTATGACCATGTACTTTCCTGACATTAAACTGTTTCCACAGTCGAAATACGCTACTTGTCCACGGAAGGCAATTCTTTCTGAAAAAAATCCACCTTGATCTTCCTCTTCTATTTCATTACAAACTGAAGAAGAGAAAAAAAAGATAGATAGAGAAAGAATATTAAAATCAATTTTTTTCACTTATTTTCAAATTATTCTTACTAGAGATTTTTTTTGCTCTTATCAGAAAATATTTATATACTTATTCATTTTATAACATCAATTTAAATAAATTAAAAAATTGTTTCTCTTGTTAATTAAATAAAAATTATTATAATTTTCTAGCTTTAAAAAATCTTTACTTGAATGGTGGAATTGAAAATTCTATTGTTATTCGAAATCTTTTATTAATGTTTAATTACTTTTTATTTTTACTAAAAAACAAATATTCAAACATTTTAGGTTACTATTGAAAAATTAAATCAGAAATGAATTTAATCAAGTTAAATTAAAAAAATGTTTGTCACAAAAAAATTCTCTTGTTACAGAAAAATGTCCAATTAAGCTACTTTAGTGCATTTTATCAACAAAATTCCTGTTGAGAGTGAAAAAAAAAGAATTTAAAAAAGAAAATTCTTCCATTTCATCTATGTGGAGGAAGAACAAATTTTATAAAACAAATATTTAATCACAATTTTTCTCTTTTAGTGGTCTAATCAATTTTATAAATATTAGTCTGATATTAACAGTTTAAAAAAAAGGATGATATTAATTATGATAATAAATATGGGTATGAAAAATTTATATTGTTCCTATTAATCAGAAAATGAGAGGACAAATTTTTAAAAATGTCAAATAGGAAACGAATTATTAATTAAAGTGAATAAGTACAAAAAACAATATTGAGTTGGGAAAAATTTAATACTTTTATCATGGAGAACTTAACCTCTGTTAATTCTCGTATTCATTGGTGTTGATATGTAAATATCGACGAATTTTCCAAATTTTCTAAAAAGAACTTTTTATGTATAGGGGAATGAATATTTCTAACAATATTCTCATTACCATTGGGGAAAAATTCACTGATTCTTCTTTGTTTTGATTCTTATTTGCCAGTAAGATTTTAACAATTGTCAGAACTGTTCATTAACTGAAAGTATGTAGAATGCTGCAACTCTCTACTCACTGAGGGCACACTCAGTGAGACTATCTCAGCTGCGGCCGGCGGCCACTGGCGCTAGTGTCGATTTCCTTCTTTTGATCTCAGATAAGTCAATGATATTAAATATAATATTTATTTTAAAAAAACCAACAAGAAAGTAAATTTTACAGAAAAACAGTAGAAAATAATAAATATCAATTGATATTCTATAGATAATCGAACTTTATATTACTTATAGTTATTTTAAAACAAAACATTCCATTGTTAATCACGTGATTGATCTTTGCAAAATCGTATCAATATTAAAGTGTTCGCGTAGATAGTAGAAGCCCACGCATGCACTCGAATCGATACAGCTTTGTATATATATGCATATAAAAGGGTACAGGGGGGGTATTAACCTTCTGTGACCCCAGCTTTTGTTTTTCCAACAGGAAAAAGATACTTTTATACCCTATATGCTTTTGTTAAATAAAAACTCGTATCTAAAAAAAATCATCAATCAAATTTAAAACGTTAGATTTAAAATATTAAACCTCACGGAATAATAAAAAATTGTAGAAGATATTTTTGATTCTGTTGTCTGTAAATTTTTTTCCTTTTCTTTAAATTTTAAAAAGCTAAATTGATATTATATAAGACGTCGAGGAGGAGGAAGGAGAATAGAAAGGAATACGATGTTACGAGGCAAATGAGAAAATCCCAAGCACGAAAAGTCCTCTTATTCTTTTTCTTCTACTTTCGATTAGATTCCTGTCAGTGAGTATTCTTTTTCCATATTGTAGGACAACCTCAATTTGACTTGGTGCTTTCAAGACATCGATGTTCAATATTCCTTGTGAGAGATCCGCGCTCTATAATTCTCTTTCTCTTATATAATAGGATTAAATTGAGTTTCACGTCTTCTGACATGAGGTCAAAGAAAAGAAGAAGGAAGCCTCTTATTCAGAATCAAATACAGATCATCTGTTACCATCGATACAAATATAGATTCTTTAATAAAGTTTTCTTTTTTTATGAAAATATTTATATTCCTTCTTATTCTTTTTTTTTATTTTCCTCTCTTATTCTCTATAGAGAAAGACGACCTTTATCGTTAAAGTTTACGGAGGGTGATTCACCTCAGAGTCACGTCAGTTAACATACTAAAGGAAAGTTTATTACCTTTTACACAATCGTGAATTGTTAAGGTCCTGGAACAAGAGGACCAAATATTTAAGATCTTTGTTTTTTTTTAATTAAATTAGGAATAGATTTTTTTATCAAAAAGAGTATTTCTGTCACAAGTACCCTAATAGTTTTTCAAACTAATATTATAAAAGTGCGCCTTTGCGAAAAGTTAGAAACGAAAGAGAGAGAGAGAGAGAGAGAGAGAGAGAGAGAATGTCACTGGATCCAAGGAAAGTCGTACCAGTTTTATTAAACTTTAGGATGAACTTCTTGAGAGAGAAATTAATTGCAGCCGGTTGCAAAAGTGTCCGCTGGACTAGCAGATTTCTTTTCACCAGTGAGAAAAGGCGCAAGTTGGAAAATTCATTCGCATCAAGAAGAAAAGCAGGTTTTGCAAAAGTGAACCTCAAAAAGATGCTTAAAGCACAAGATCGCTTGGGTTTTTTCTAATCTTAAAGCTTCATCCCTTTTCCTGCAGGTTTTTTTTTGTTTCTTAAAAAACGTAAATAGGAAATGAGATGAGAGAACCAAAGGGAATTGAAAATAAGCGGTTTTCTTTCAAGTTCCATTTTTTTGGACACAGAATTACGGCGAATTCTAATAACTTACAGTTTTTGCTTCAGTATTTTTTCTTTACTTTCGGGAATTGGAAATATTTTATTAATTCCATAGATAGTAATTTAACACTTTATCCCAAATCGGACAGATCCAAATAAAAAAAATCTCTATTTATTTCTCCTTCGAGTAATAGTGAATCCACAAGCATAAACCAACTGGACATATCCATTGGGTAATGAATTTTCACTTGTTATGGATTACTGTAGACGCGGCAAGTAAACAATTTTCTGCAAATATCCAGTTCCTCTTAATTACAAATGGCACATATTCCTGATGTAATGCAAAACGTATCTCTCATTTCTATTTGGACGAATGGCGAATTTATGCACATATAAAGCGCCTTAACTGTATATTGCTCAAAATGATGACAATTTCGAATAATATTTGTCCACACGTAATGACAGCTATTTTACTCACTACTATAAATATAGCAACGATAGAATATAATTCATGATACGTAACAGTCAGTCACGCACATTATATGACAGTTACAGATCTATTAAGAGTCGCGTGATTATTTCCCAAATGACAAGAATATACCATTTTGGGATTTAATTTTAATACGAAATTTTATTAATATTTATTATAATTTTCATTCTCTAGTAAAATTCTCTATAGTCAAGAAAGTTTATTTCCATTTGCAAATTAATTACGTGAATTATTATTCAACATACAATGGAGAGAATTTTATTAAAATTAGTAAATATATATATATATATTCTCGACAGAAATAGTTTCTATTTTAATTATAAACTTTTAGTGAATTTTTGAAATATTTCAGAAGCATGCATCTGAATTTAAATAATTTCCACAAAATTATACATATATATATTTATTTTCCAGCGATTATTAATTTTTAAGAATTTAAATTAAATGGAAAAAATAACTCACCCTTGCTGATTTACGCTGACTGAGACTTTCGACGCAGGGAAATCCACCGCACTGCAACGAAAAAAAAAGAGAGGAAATTACAATTTTTTTTTCAACTTGCTCAATTTATCGTGACTAATCAGCATTTTAATAATGCTGTTAAAAAAGAGAATTTGTGATGAAACCAGATAAAAAGGTTGTGTAACTTAATCCAAGATTGCCTGTTAGATCATAACTTGAGAAGCAGCAACTCATTTTCTTAAAAGAATGATGGCAGGTGATTACTTTAATTAAGATGTTAAAAAAAACTGAAATTAGATCATTCTCCAACTACTGCTTTTAAAGCCCATGAAAAATTATAATCCTAGTGAAAAAATTCTCTTAATTTACAGTTTTACACGAATGCATCTTTTTTTAATTTTTTATTTTCATACCCCGAAAATAAATTACCGCAATGTAATTTTTTTCATTTATTTTTTTCCGAATTTAGGGGTTTCGTTGACTTTTCAAAACGATCGCAATTCTTATCTGAATCATAAAATTAAAGAAAAATTTTTAACTTCAGAACAGACCCCCTAATTTTCCATTCGTGATTTTCGTTTCCAAAATAAATAATGGTAATTTTATTTTCTACCGAAATAAGTGAATATTCTATTGGCGGTTGAAAAAAAGAAACTTTTTTTTTCCAAGAAAACTGTCTCGTGCACGGAGATATTTAGAAATCGATTTGTGAAAAGGTGTGTTTTCAGCGTCATGTACCTGCCTATTTTAGATAATAACGTGTGAAACTAGTATTTACTGAAAAAGGTAATATCCTAAAATGACGACATTTTGCTCGACAAGTTAGTTTGCCAACCTCCTGCTATACAATTTAGAAAATCATTTAGGCAAATTAAGGCAAAAAATCTCGTTTTAAGTTGAAATTGATTTTTTCCGAACATTTTAGAACATTTGAAGACTTTGTAGTATTCTTTTTTTTAAGAGAGAGTATTTTCGAGTAAAGGAAATATAAAAAGTTTTATAGAAAGACTTATACTGACATTATAGTATAAAATAGCTTGTGAAATTCTGAAGAAAACACATTTTCAACTTGAATATAGTAAATGACTTTAAAATAGAAGTGTTTTGGTGAACGAGTTTAAGATGAATAGATGTTACATCTGTTTGCTTGACTACCTATCGCTTTGGTTTGAATGCCTATTGTTCGCATCTTCTTTGAGGGATGCTGCTTGTGGCTTCTGTTGACTTATGGCTTTTCTAGTGAAACAGTTGTTTCGGAAGGTGCCCAATGTTGTATTCCTTATTTCAATATTAATGGTTTCACACTATAACCGGAAACTTTCCACTAACTCGAGACTCTATAACTCTGAATATTGTTAGAATTTGAGATTAATTGTATCTTTGATGACATTTCGCCACGACGAATGGTTAATCATCTCCCTACTTTACCGACGATCTAGTGACAATTATCGACAATGACTTTGGTAATTAACTCCTAAGACACGATGAAAAGAGGTCGTTAAACCATAAATGCCCTTTAAAATTAAGATTCTTGGTAATTTAGTTGATAATTATAGAATGACGAACAGAAAATAGTTTTAGGAAAAACACCATATTTAAGAATTTTTTTATTATCTGTCACCAAGTGATTCGTTGAGAAATAAATTGTAAGATGTGATAGTACAATTTTTTACCACTGACTTATAGATTCTTGGTAATTTAGTTGATAATTATAGAATCACGAAGTGAAAATAGTTTTAGGAAAAACACCATATTTAAGAATTTTTTTATGTCACCAAGTGATTCGTTGAGAAAAAAATTGTAAGATGTGATAGTACAATTTTTATCACTGACTTATAGATTCTTGGTAATTTAGTTGATAATTATAGAATCACGAAGTGAAAATAGTTTTAGGAAAAACACCATATTTAAGAATTTTTTTATTATCTATCACCAAGCGATTCGTTGAGTAACACATGATGTTGTCTACTCGCTGTTCGCTTCCATTCTGCCAATTTACTCCTAAAAAATTGTATCTTTAATGATATTTCGCCACGACGAATGGTTAATCCGCTCCCTACTTTATCTAGTGACAATTATCGACTATGACTTTGGTAATTAACTCCTAAGACACGATGAAAAGAGTTCACTGAACCACAAATTACCATTGCTCAGGATTAATTACTTAAGAATTTTTCCAAACCCTTTATAAAGTACCATTTTTTCTTCTTTAATATCGATAAAAGCAATATCGACTGTGATATCTCAAGTATCAATATACATTGTGAGTTCGTCAATAGTTGGCAAACGAATGAATGGGAGTTTCTCTCATTTCAGTAGGAAATGTCTCGACACTTCGACCCTAAAGAAATCAATCACGTTTCGAATGAGAAGAGTCGTTATTCGGTGAAAGGAGGATTTGTCCCCTTTTGGGGTTATAGTGGCATTTCTTTCCCTTTTGAGATTAAGTCGTTTTCACGTTTCACCTCCAAATAAAAGAAGCAACAATAATCATTTCGACATTTTCGATTCCCCCCAATTGCCTTCACCGAATAGATAATATGTCTCTCTATAAACATCTTCTTATTTGCGCAAAATCAATATTGACTTCTTACAATTTCTTGCATTTTTTATTGTGTTTTATTTCATTTTTTTTGTTGAAAATACTCAAAAGTCAGAAAATCATATTACAGAATTTCTAGACTGCATCTTTAAAGCAATATCGACGTGCTGACCTAGAAATTGAAGCAGGTCGACAGAATTCAATTATATTTAATTTTAAAGAAACTCTACAGTTAGTTATTTCCAAAGAAAATAAATATATATATTTTTTCATTCGAGTTAAGGAAAATTTGTCTTTTAAAAAGAAAGAAGCAATTAGTTTTATTATGCAAAGAAATGTTTCATTACTTAAGTTACTCAATTTTTAAATATTCAAGGAATTATTGGAAAATTGTTTTTCGAAATACCAGAAAGTTAAATGTTTTTTTTTAATACAAAATATTAACTATACTTAATTATTTCTGGTAACTTTAATTTATTCAAATGTGATTTTGTTTTTGAAGAAGATTCTTGATTATTGGAAATTCCAAACTGTCAAACTTTAAAAGTTTCAGACATGGAAACTTGTAAATTTTCAAAAGCATCTCAAAACTTGTTCAATTTTATCAACAAAGTTTTTCTTTAAAATTAAAAATGCACTCGTTTTATAATTTCTATTAAAATAAAATTTACGAATATCGTATTTTATTTAATTATCAAATGTTAATAACGACTTTAAAATAATAATAATAAAACTATTTTAATATCCATAAAGAAAATTTATCGAATAATATTGATGTAGAAAAAACTTATTGCAGTCTATAATTATTATTAATATCAAAAATTCATTGTGCGCATAAAATTCCATTAGTAAATGATACTCGATTGCATTTGGAAAAAGAATTGGTAATATATGTGTATAAAATAATGATTTATCATGTATTGATTTGAAAAAAAATGAGAGGTTATTTTTGTCAATTATTTACGTAATAAAAATTTACTTGCTTTTATCAGAGATACTTTAATAAAAAGAGAAAAAACAATTGAATATTTTCTATTTAAAAGGGAGCATATTTTCTGTTCTAGTTTTTATTATCAAATAAAGTAATAACACAGTAAATGGTTCACAACAATTATGTTAGAATTTTCCTTTTAATGGTACACAATGAAAAAAAAATATTATAAACAAACTTTAACATCAAAGGTTATATAAAGAAAACTTTTTTCAAACATTTTTCATTAATTTAATTTTTTTTTCGTCTTTTTAATGTTAAATTATAAATATAATAGTAAAAAATTTTGTTTTGAGATCTTGATATTAAAAATTTATTCACATATTAAACCATTCCTGGGATCTTGTGAAAGAAGAATGTTTCAATGCAGCTTAAATAAATATGTTAAGTACGAGTTACGTTTAGAAAAGAGAATGATGATAGAATGCCACGATATAAGTCTAGAAAAAAACAGAGATAGAGGGATAAAGTAAATGTAAAATGAAACGCTTTCATAAAATACGATTGAAAGAAAGGTTTTAAGAATTAATTGGAGCAAAAAGATATGTTTCGCATTTGATAACTAAAAGAAAGAGTTTATTTCCACGTTTCGAAAGAATTAAAATTTATTCTCAAACTTTTCTAATACTATGTCTATATAAGCAAAGTGCTAAAGAATTTTAGGTTATAGTTTAATTTTCCAAAAGTTATCGAGAATGATTTTATTTTTACAATTCACCTGCAACAGTGAATATACATATACATATAAAAAGCAGTCTAATAGTTTATTTAATGATATTTATGTAATTACAAAAAGAAAATAGTTTTAGGAAAAAAACTTTTTCTGTCATTAAGTGATTCGTTGAGAAATAAACTGTAAGATGTAATAATACATTTTTTTATCATTGACTTATAGATTCTTGGTAATTTAGTTGATAATCATAGAATCACGAAGAGAAAATAATTTTAGGAAAAACACCATATTTAAGACTTTTTTTTATTATTTGTCACCAAGTGATTAGTTGCGTAACACATGATGTTGTTGACTCGCTGTTCGCTTCTACTCTAGCAGTTTACTTCTGAGTCCGCGGCAGGACTGATTACTTTGATTTCTCGCCATGGCGCCACTAGTCTTCTTCCTCCATCTCGTATAAATTTTCTCAAAGAAGCCTCACATTTAACTATAAATTTATTATTTATAAATAATTAATCTTTCCATGAAAGATGTTAGAACTATCATCTTCTGTTTGTAGTCTCCTCAATAAAATATTTATTGTAAAATTATTAATTGAAATATTATAAAATAAATTATATTGATAATTGATGACAGATAATAGATAAAATTTTAAAAATATAATAAATACTTTATTATACTATTTACTATAAATATTATTTCAAACATTTTATTAAGCAATTTTTTTTTTTGCATCCATTCAACTCCGAAGAGAGACGAGAAAATTGAATATAAAAAATAAATAAGTCATGTTACTAGGGAAATTTTTGATTGGATCTTCGTTATATTATTTCCATGCGCCCTCG